CCTTCAGCCGAGGTTGACATCTCCAACAGTTACAATTTGCTTTAAAGACATGAAGATTCGCATCCTTCACTACAATTGTTTTCAAATATTTCCCCCAAAATCGATCACAAGCTAAATCAACATTCACCGGGTTGTTGATCAGAACACGAATCGCAGTTTGTGGGACAATCAGTTTCATATTGATTGCCGTATAAACGTTTCTTCGGTAACAACCTGCAGGCCTAGGGCATGTTGAATTGCATTCATATCCAAACTACCCATCTTTGCAAGTTCTGTTACAATACCCAGCCAGGTTATTAAATCCATAGAAATAATTCATACAACATATACAATTATTACCAAATTGTTTAGAAAACTAAATGTTCAATGATTATTTTTGTAAGATCCGTTAAGCTTCTCATTTTATGCCCTGTCGTTTGAACAATGCAGTCGGTGACATGGTGGCATGCAAAAGACCAATTCCAGCACTTTTACAGTTGACAAAATAAATTACAAAGCATTAGTTTCAGGGTGTATGCTACCCTGGGGGACTGAACACTACAAGCAGCATAGACCGTATGTATTTAAACAAAGCAGATTGTTTGATGTAACCACTTCATGAATCCTTGACTTGCAAAAAAGCAGTATTATAAATCATTCAAATACTATCTTAAAGATGTCAGACATCGATATTATTTTGCTTCAGCTCAACATTGAAAAAACTGCCATTCTAGTCTCAATTGTGATCATTGACATTTAGATACGAGCCAAGGTGCTACCGAAAACGATGATGTTTGGTCAATGCTCTTCAACTTTGTACTTTAATTGGCTTTTAAACTTTTTTGATTCAAGCGTCACTGATGAGTCTTTTGTAGACAAAACGCTCGTCTGGCGCAAATACAAAATTTCAATCCTGGTATCTATGATTAGTTTATTTCTACAAAAAATGTATTTTACAAAAATGTTTCTGTATATAAATATCTATTTGAGTACAGTCTGGCCTCATATCTATTTTGTCCGAAAACAATGAAAAATGTTTTTTTTTATAGATCAAACACCATAAGTGGTCCGTGTGCGCTAAAGTCTAGATAATGTCATCTTGTTCATTTTACAATAAAATGTTCATAATTGTAAAAGGCTTCATCTTTTTTGACTTTGTTTTGAAAAGTCAGTGATCAAATAAAAACTCTTATCATACCGTCACCTTTATTCACTCTGAGTTTATGTTGAGAGTGTCAAATTGTCCAAAGAACTGTCAATGTTGAAGACTGTATGTTGACGTATATATGTCTTTAGGTTATTTTTTGTCGTTGCGTTTGTGTCTCAATGACGAAAAATGCGCCATCATTTATTGATATTTCGTCCTCAAAACACGAATATCTGGATTAGTTTACTTGCTTGATCAAAAGTTTAAAAGCACAATATGTAAAAGGTTTTAGAGCAAAAAGAAAAAAAACAAAACAAGAAGAGTCTATACAAACAACCAAACTGCTCTGTGGTTAACGTTACCTTAGCAAATTGCAACATAAGTGCTGTAGTAGAACAGTATAAGAATCAATAAAACATAGATACAAAAACAACAATATAGAAGTATATTTCTATTGATTTGATTTTATTGCTAGGTGTAGTCATCTTACTGTTCAGTGTTGTATATTCTTCATACTGAAAGTATTGTCCTCATTACTCCTGAAAAGAAATATACACATACATGTATTTTAGCAGTTTTTCTTGCATGGATGTTTTAAGTACATCACCGTTGATGACTAGCAACAAATTGTCAGTTTAAAATCAGTTATAAAAATTACACCTATTTGTTTCAATGATACCTTACGCCCAGGCGTGTTCATATTTAACGGTCTTCATTAACAAATGTATGCTTACCATATGGACGCGTCTAGTATCGCTCTGCTTGGAGTTCAAGCGATGTTTGATATGACTTTAGAAATGTCTGACACTTATTTCATAGATAACAAGATATGCTTTCCCAAGCTAACTACCCGGCTTAACTCCGAATACGATTTTGTTTCTTGTCTCCCAAATATATAATCGGTCTTAATCCTTAGAAATACAAAAATTCTCTGCTTGCAGTTGTACAGTAACTCTGAAGTCCATGTTTGATCGCTGATGAATAGATGTCAGTTATTGAAAATGCTAATATTTTTTAAAAGTTTTTGTGATCTTGATCACATTATATATCATTGAAGTATTTTGTAATTATAAATACCGGTATAATGTAGTAATAATATATTTCGCATATGAATATTTTCATACTGAAATTTAGTAGATCATATTTATATTAAATGTCTGATTTATAAAAAAAATATATAGTAGTAAATCTCGGAATTTTGGATCCTCGATGCTCTTCAATTTCGTATTAAATTTTGTCTTTTCCCTTTTTTTGATTCAGTCGTCACTGATGAGTCATTTGTAAACGAAACGCGCGTCTTGCTTACAAAATTATACGTCCGGTATCTTTAATAAGTGTTTCCGCAGTTAACATCGATAAAACATTAGCATACATATACAACAAACTATAGTTGACTTCACTGTTAAAAAATAAAGGATTAATGGAGCTAAGGAGACAACAACGTGGGTTAAACTAGGTTTTATTAACATCTATTCTATTCATACGACTGACATTCAGAGTTTTTTTATTCCGATTTTGTGAAATACCTGCAAATGCTTAATTGAAAGAATAATAATTAAGTTGTCTGCCATATTTGTTTTTGGACATTCTTATGTATCTGTAACATTAAAATAATTAAGTTGTCTAATGTACAATCAAGAATAAGAGAACCAAATCTTAAAAAATATTAAAATAATAAAACTACAAGACACATCAATATTTGGACCTCAAAGGTCTTAATACAAAGTTGTTGAACAGGTTATAAAAAAATGCAAATCACACGAAGACAAAACAACGAATGGCTTATTAAGCCTGTACATGTTAAACTTTAAGTTAAAGATAAAACTGCACTTTTGGTCGTCAGAAGATATGAATAAAGTAGCTAAACCGTTATAACAATTACTATATGAACTCAGATAATGTTGTTGACCATTTCTTAGCCAGTCCTCACTTCGTCCTCGCGTGATATAGACGCTTATATTCTCTGTCAAATCCCCCTTGAAACAGGCCTTTTAGTTTTAGGTCATAATATTGGGCAGCAATTTTCTGCATTTTAGCTTAATAGTTTCGGGAGCTTGTTGAGGGTTTTTTTTTTTACCTTTTATATTTGATAGCTGCAAGTTGACCTTAGATAGATTTGGTTATTTTTAGGTCCTTTTTGGTAAAAGCTCTTTAACTTTTTCGGTTCTTTCAAATATTCGGCTGTGAGCGCTCCTGATGAAGGTAAATCTAGAAAAGCGCTTCGGACGCATGAAATTTATAACGTGTTGTTTCAATTTGTTTGCACTTTAGAGCTGTGTTTTTATATTTGTATTCTATTCTTATAACCTTCCAGGAACGAATATTTTGTTATCCTTAACAATGTTAGTTTATAGTAATCTATATCCCTTTGATGTCTCCAGCCTCTCTTCTAGCCTCCTAAGCTTATCATATTATGTGATTTACGACCTTCCTGGTAGTATCAATATAATTGTCAAAAATGCAATGTGTCAGTCATAAGTTTTTCCTCAAATATCAAAATATACATGAAAATATATTTTGTTTAATCTGATTTTTATCCTTTAGTAGATAAATATGCTTATTCAAAACATTTTTGATAATTGTTCTCATAGTTTAAATTTTTGAAATCTGGTAAAGTATATCAATCATTTCATACTGTACCTTCGTCTATATATGAAATATGCCAAAATGACTATTAAAATCACAGCAACTACACATCCAATAGCTATTCCTGTCACTGAACCACTGGACAATCCGGTCTGCTTAGCAGGTTCTTTTACTGAAATAATAATAGAAAAGATAAAATATATGAAAAAAAAAATATTCTTAAAAAAATGAGCCGCAATGTTAATTTTTTGGAATAACTTGAACTGCCATAGAAACAAATACATGTAACACACTAAATTCTTCACTAAATAGCTCGTTTTTCTAATACGATGATTTTTTGTTTTTATTTGTAAAATACGTTTTTTAATGAAATGTACAGTCAATGACTGTATCTGTAAATTGCTCCAATCTTGTAAAGCAATCAAGTAAATAAAGTCAGTTTTGATTTTCGTTGCAGCTCATACGGTGGAAGGCTGTTGTGGGCTCTAACTATCACTTGGAATTGGCATTCGTTAGCAGGCTCCTACGAGCCTATGATTATTTTCTCCTTCAATGTTTGCTTGTGTAACTTTCATCTGAACCATGCATACTATATATTTTGCTTACATAGAAATTGAAACTATATCTTTGAGTACAAAATACTATATTTACCTTCGCAGAATGTACCTTTCCATTCCGGTTTACATCCTTGTGAACACACACCGTTACCTTTACAATCTCCTTTTAAGCACGTTTCACTGCACTTCTGATCACATTGTTTTCCGTAATAACCGTTCAAACAGTTTATACAGTGTCCGTTTACTGGATTACACGACGTCAATGTGTTATCCGCTGAAGCACATTGACCACAAGAGTCATTACAGAATTGTCCAAATTGACCAGAAGCGCAAGTTTCTATACAAGTACCACTATATTTTTCACAGATGTATCCATTTGAGGAAGTATTTATACATTTTGTACTACACGTTTGATTGCAATCAAATCCAAATTTTAATGGCGGACAAATGGAATTCGTGAAATTTATTGTGCAGTGAGTGGTATTACATGCAGGTGATACTTGAAGACACTTGCCAGTCACTGGATGGCATATCAAACAATTATTAAAACAGGATACATTGCAGTAAACTCCATATTTCCCGGGCGTACAACCAGACATACAAACACCTTGTCTATTACAATTTCCACCCATACATTGACTACACGACTGAGAGCATTTTTCACCAAAGCGACCATCATTGCAACCATCTAAACAGAAATGTCTACATAAACTTATAAAAATATACTAGTAAATAAGTATGATTATCATGGCATGTCTAACGTTAAAATCATGGATATTGTCCCTATATTTGTGTGTAATATATAATCACGTAAAGTGCAATCGGAATTTAGTAATCCAGTTTGTGTTTATATATATAAAACTTTACAGACGAGTAAGTAGGCTAAATTTACTTAGTAATAAGGTACGTACTTTTCATATTCTGTGAGTTGGGCATGATATTTGTCAACAAATAGCTTGATTCTAAATTCCAAACAAAAATTTGATTTAGATGAGTAGTTAATTGAAATAATAAAGAAAAAATAAGTCCTGTCTTTTCGAGAGAGAAAAAAAGATGTTTGACCCGAAAAATTGTACATGCCGCCCTCCAAAATAAAAAGGGAGATGAATGATTGGTAAAAATTCTGCTCTATTTGCCAAACGGTTATGATAATCCTTAACTACACTGATTTAGTTGCAACTTGCTTTGAAAAGCTTTCAGTAGATGCGAGTACTCTTATTTCGTTGTGTTGCTTTCTATTGTTCTTATGTAAGTTGTATTTGTACCTCGTGCCGATCTTTTGAGTTAAGACAATTGCTACTGTGATTTAAAGTTTGTTATGATGTTATGCTTTTTCACGATTGTCTTAGTTTAGGGGGAGAGTTGATCGCATACAAACATGCTTAACCCTGCCACATTCTTCATGTGCCTGTCCCAAATCAGGAGCTTGTACGTAGTTCAGAGGTCGTCGTGGTCATGTCTGCTCATTTCAGTTCTATCTCATTTGTTTTTTCGCAAATTGTGCTTATAAATTATGCCGTTGATTTTTTTCTCGTTTGAATTGTTTCACAATTTCATGTTGGGGCCTTTAATAGCAGACTAGGGTTTTTTTCTCATCGTTGAAGGCCGTACGGGTGCCTGCAATTGCTAACATCCACTTCATTTCAACACTGGTGAATAATTGTCTCATTGGCAATCATTCCACATCTCCGAATTTTAAATGGAAATGGCGAATATTTTCCAATACAGATGTGATTATTGAAATAGAGCAAAAGTATAGAAAATTTTATAAGTATGTACTGGGAGTTCATAGTAAATCAACACATTTAGCAGTTAACGGAGAACTTGGTCGTACTCCACTTCATATTGATATTATTTGTTTAGTTATTAATTTTTGTTTGTAGAATCAGACAAGAATGAGTGTCATTTGTTAAGTCAAACTCGTACAGATCGCATTTATTTACACCAAATTGGAAACCAAACAAGGTATTCATCATTTTTTTTATTGCAAACCAGCTGAATGTAGATATTCATAATTTAAATGTTGATGAAATTAAATTTGTATTAATTAAGAGGTATATGCAATTTTTGAAAGAGAATTTTTTACAGTGAAAAGGGTACGAACCTATTCTGAATTTAAGGATATTTTCAAAAGAGAGACTGATCAAAAGTTTGTAAAAACATTTGAAACTAGAAAGTACATCACACAAATGAGAATTAGTGCTCATAAATTAGCTATTGAGCAAGGTCGTTATAGAAAGATAGACAAAGGTAAACTAATTTGTAAATTTTGTTCTTCAAATTCAATTGAAGATGACATTCATTTTCTAATGGAATGTCAGATATTCGAACAACAACGACAAGTTACGTTGAATTCTGCTTTAAAGATATGTAATAATTTCAAAAATCAAAATACAGAAAAAAATTTAGTTGGTTTCTTTCTTGTTAACATGAAGATATTGCATCACTGAGGGTTTAACTTGTTATAAATGTTTTGCAATAAGAAAACAATTCCTATAGGTAAACCCTATTATCAAGAGCATTATCGTTATTGTTTGTTTTTTTGGTTTTCTTTTTTACTTATGTCTATTTGTAATTGGCCGATAATTGATAAAGTATTCGTATTCGTATGCACTAACATGAGGTAACCTTTTTACTTGCTTTAAATTTCTTTTCAACAAATGCTTGATTTAAATACTTGAAAATGTATATTTTGACTCAATAGAACAACGATTTTGTTATTACCGCACACTTATATTTTTCATGTCAGGTGTATATCATAAGCATTATTGTCCTATTATAATTAGTTTGACTTGAGTCTAAATGTGATCGCAATAAGCATAAATTGTATATAGTAAGAATATATGAAATGATCAGAAAAACTCAAAATGAGTACTTGACGAATTCGTGCATACTAGTTTTATATACGAAAATTCGGAATTATAACAATTACCTTCCTATTGTGATTTTGCTATTAAATTTTTATTCAAAAATCAACACAAAGATGTATTTTAAAACGACTTGGTAAAACCCAAAATGCCGATGATAGTTAACTTTATATGGACTATGGGAAGCTTAATACCAAAATTTATGATAAAAGAGATACTTTTTCATTTCCTATTGTTAATTATCCATTTTTAGATGGTGACCTTCCTTTGTCACCATCTTATGGTGTTTATATATCCCAACTTGTTCGATTCGCTCGTGTATGTAACAACGTATTTCATTTTAACGAAAGAAACCTCTGTATTACTGAAAAATTGTAACACCAGGGTTTTCGATATCACAAACTAGTCAAAACATTTACTAAATTTTATCATCGGTACAAGGACATCATTCGTAAATATAAATCAACATGCAGACATCTTATACGGTCAGGTATTTAACATCCAATATTTTATGGTAACGTTCTATACAAAGCACAAAAATGTCGGCACTCACCTCAAAATCTAACCAAACCTTTAAACAGACTTATTCAGAAGGGATATAGCTACGATACTGTTGTCAGGTCATTAAAGATGGCATATTTTGGTGTTAATATTGATTCAGTCACAGGGTCTTTGCATCGGAAATAAACACATTTATTCTAAAACCAGTTGTTGGCATGATATGGGTAATGTTCGTCTCATATATTATATGATGGTATGATACTAAACCCCTAACGGGAGGGTTTGTGCTTGATTTTCATATGATGAAGACATAATCTTTCAATCAATTTAATTGAGGTCTGGAGCTGGCATGTCAGTAACTGCTAGTAGTCCTTTGTTAATTTATGTATCATTGTCATTTTGCTTAGTTTCTTTTGTTACCTATTCTGACATCGGACTCGGACTTCCTTTAAACTGAGTTTTACTGTCCGTTTTGCTGTGTGTTTGTTTATTCTACATTGGCTAGAGGTATAGGGGGAGGGTTGAGATCTCACAAAACATGTTTAACCCCAGCGCATTGTTTCGCCTGTCCCAAGTCAGGAGCCTCTGGCCTTTGTTAATCTTGTATGTTTTTAAATTTTAGTTCATTTATATCTTTTGTAGTTTAGAGTGTCTATTTTCATTGAACTAGTACACATTTTTGTTTAGGGGCCAGCTGAAGCTCGCCTCCAGGTGGGGGGTTTTCTCGCTGTGTTGAAGACCCATTGGTGGCCTTCGGCCGTTTTCTGCTCTTTGGTCGGGTTGTTGTCTCTTTGACTAATTCCCCATTTTCATTTTCAATTTTATTTTATAATATACATACCTTCACAAATGCCAGTAGTGTGATTACATGTTCCTCCAAGACAGTTACCACACGAATAATAGCACATATTACCATATCTTCCAGGTATACATGTAATGCAATCACCAGAAAACTGATCACAAGTTTTGTTTAAACAATAACTGGAACAGGTAAAACTACAGCTGTCACCTGTCCAACCATCTTTGCATCCATGTATGCATGTGCCATTGGTTGGGTCACAGAGACCTTCAAAGCAGCTAGTGGCACATTCTCGATCACATTTCCCTAAACTGTAAGGATCCATATACCATCCCTCCTTACAACCTTTAAGACAACGTCCTGTACGGCCATTACATTTATCATATAAACAATTTTCACAAGGTGCGCAAAACTCTCTAAGTACGGGTTTGTAAAACCCATCATCACACTCATCGCAACCGGCACTTTCAAAATTATTGATATTATCCTTAAACTGGGTACATTTGGAGCAGTGTGGCGTCAGAAGTGAACATCCGTATTTGCATGTGGAATAATACCAATCAGGTTCACATCCATACGGACATACACCGGTTGTTGAATTACAGACAGTGCCATTTCCAATACAATGGCTACTGCATTTATCAATACAGTGCTTCCCGTAATATCCTGACTCACACCCGTCTAAACATACACCACTGGTATTGTCACATTTAAAATGCCCACCCTTACAATTGTCACTGCATCTACAACATCCTCCTATTTTCGGATACCAACCAGAATTTTTACATTCGACACAATGCGACAGTGATTCATGTTTCGAACATTGGTCCACGTCACATGTACATTGGTCACCAAATAAACCTGAATTGCATCGAGTACATTTTTCGCCACTTCTATTACATTTTGTACAATTAGACGGACAAGAACTTTCACAATATCGACCATAATATCCTTCTGAGCATACATTACAAGTGGTGTTATCAATGCAGGAATCACAGTTCTCAATACATGTATTATTGCAGTTTTGTCCATACCATCCTTTTGAACAGGTACAAGAACCATCAAATTTTGAACAAATCGAATTTCGACAGTTAACTGGGCATTGAAGTTCACACTTGTTTCCAAACCAGCCTTTCGAACATTCATTACAGGTATCGTTCCTTGAACAAAAGTCACAGTGTGCTATGCAGTTCAGTTGACAGTTGGAACCACCGAACCCAGGTTTACATCCCCAACAAGTGCCATAATGTCGTTGACAAGCCGATTTGCAACTGTCACTACAATTGTTTTCACAATAATTTCCCCAAAACCCATCATTGCAGCCATATATACATTCACCGGTTTGTCGATCACAGCCATTCACTTCTTTGCAATTTGAGGGACAAATCTTCTCACAATGATCTCCATAGTAAGGAGCCTCGCAAGATAAACAAAATCCACTTTGATTGCAATACTTGTGATGACATCTTTCCGAGCAGGTTTCTGTACAGTTTATACCATAATAGGAAGTCTTACAATCTGTACATTCGCCAGTATTTCTATGACATCTTATATAACAGTGTTGTGGACATGTCGAATTACATTCGGATCCATAATAACCATACGTGCAACTTCCGTTACAATAGCCAGTCTCGTTATTACAACCATCAGAACAATTTAAACAATTAAAGAAAATTGTTTTAGTAAATATCTTAGAAAGTATATCATTTCTCATGATCATGATATTAGTAATAAAATAATACGGTTAAACCATCTGCTTTGAAACCAAACCTATTGGAGGGTGCATTAGATGACATGAAATAGGAAATTATCCAAATCTGTTATATAGACGACTTTCGAATTCGTGCACTTTCCCGTAAATATCTTATGTCACAATGCTTATGTTATTACGTCATGGTGAGAGCCGATTGTTCTCAGACGTCGTTTACGCCGATTAACCCCGGGTCAACCGGTAAAACTCATTCCTAAAAAACAACCCGAGATTGATGTATTTGCTATAAAAGCTAACATCAATATATCAATGATTGAAAGAAAGATATGTGGCATACGTTTTAGAGAAAGCAACCTACAGACAATAGTAACAAATAAAAGAAATATGTACGAATTCGTGTAAACTTGGTTGCGGAAGGAGGCAATTTACGCCTCGACTTTATGTACATACTTTTGTTGAAGACTGTATGTTGACCTCTACATGTCGTTTAGTTTTTGTCTCGTTTGTGTTTTGATTTTCCGATACAAGTTATTGTATTAAGATAATTATGTTCTTTGATACAGACGTAATTTTGTAAATATTTTGTATTTGACAGCAATATGCAGCTCTCAAGTTATCTGAATTCTATGGAAAAAGTAAAATAACAAAAATACCGAACTCCAAGGGAAATTCAAAATGGAAAGTCCTTTATAAAATGGCAAAATCAAAAGCTCATACACATCAAACGAATGGAAAACAACTATCATATATATTCCTGACTTGGTACAGAAATTTCCTTATGTAGAAAATGGTGGATTAAACCTGGTTTTATAGCTAGCTAAACCTCACACTTGTATGACAGTCGCATGGAATTTGTGAAAGTATTTACGTTTTGAAGTGCGATACATATATTGACCCTGCGTGTAATAGTAGAACAAATACAAGGCAAAATGCATTAATCTCGGCTGTTTGCATTACATTTTTATAACAGAAACATATTTTACCACTTTATCCCATTGTCTACAATATGTTTCCACTCTCGATAGTTATATTTTAATTTTTGAAAGGTGTGGTAAATCTGATATTTTGAAGTTCTAAAATCTAAACATCTCGAGTTGACAATCATAGAACTCACCAAGTTGATTTGATAAAATCTAGTACACAATGGAATATTGATGTGGTAATATTGCCAATAAACAACTATCCAACAAAGTCTAAAAGACGAGGATACATACAATTGTTGGCAACCGTATGGCCTCCTACAATCAGTAAACCATGCGTCAATGTAAGTAATAAAAGCCTAAGTTCCTTTCCCATCATCGTAAAAATACTGTTATTTATGATTTACAAACAATGATTGAGGTTTGCATATTTTAGTTTTACACGAGAAACGATCTACAAGAATTTACGACAAGATAGACTATTTTAGTTTCCAATTGTTAATATCCCCTTTTTCTACGGTGATGTTCCTTTGGTCAATGCTTACGGTGTTTAAATTTCACAACCTAATCCCTATGTCCGTTTTTGCATTGAGGTTTTAGATTTCAGAGAAAGTAAATTATGTATAACTTATAAGTTAGGATTTCGTTAAGACAAATAAATTTTAAACTTTTACCGATTTTTTTAGATACAAAAATTCGGCTGTACCTGTAGAAAATTTATTAAAAATGAGATTTGGGTTTCCCATTCTTGAAAGTTTTATGGTGACCTATAATATTCTTTCATCCCCGTCGTATAACCTCTGGTAGATAGCCTGTTTCATTGTGAATCATAAAACATCTTTCTAATTCTATATTTAACTTTTTTTTCTAATTTTCTAAGGCAGGAGAAAAAGAAATGTTTCATTTAAAATCAATTAAACCTTACAATGAACTTAATATAATTTATATTTATATAAAATAAAGAATATCTTAAAAATAAAAGAAAAAAATATCAATTTTAAAGTAGTCGACGATTTTAACTTTTTCCTACAGACGAACGGTTTTCCATGAGATTTAGCACCTGAGATCCCCCCAGCTTTTGGTGTGGTTCGTGTTGCTCAGTCTTTGGTTTTCTATATTGTGTTTTGTGTATTATTGTTTGTCTGTTTGTCTTTTTCTATTTTAGCCATGGCGTTGTCAATTTATTTTCGACTTATGAGTTTGAATGTCCCTTTGGTATCTTTCGCCTCTCTTTTTTAGCCTTGATTTATAAAAGCTGATCGTACTCTTAAAATCTGACTTAAGTCAAATTCTTACAGAAAAATAGTTGGAGGTCATCATTCAATGCAGTAACAGTTAAAAAATTACAAAATACCAAATTCAATAGAAAATTGTCTGGTTTGTTCATGAAATATAAGAAATACGTTTTAACGAACACAATGCTGAAAGGGACTGATTTTTTACCTTATTTATATATGTGGATGTTAATGCAACTTACCTCAAATATATCTAATATGAACATCAATAATTATTTTTTCTTATTTGGATGTTTTAGTTTTATACGGGGAACTTTGTTCCAAAATGAATAACAAAATGCTTAATTCCTATTGTATATTTTCCTTTTCTGGACTGTGATGTAACTTTGATCGCTTCTTTCGGTTTGTATAATCCTAAGCGCGATCGATATGCGCATGTCTGACCTGACACTTTTTTTAAAATGTTTTTTTTTTATCATTTAAGGTAGATAGGGTGTCTTCCTCCATCTTGGATTTTGAAATACCAGAAAACAATCGGTCTAGATCTTTAATAAAAGGTGGAAATTTTGAGAGTAGTAGGTAATTCATGTGTAAGAATTTTCATATCAATATAGAAAATGACATATTTTATCATATTTATGGTTGTGTTTTACAAAAAAACAGAATACTTTTGTTTGATTCTATTTTTTCCAACTTTGCTACATAAGGGGAGGCAACTCAAATGTAAGGGCAGATAATTCAGATAAAGTTACTTTTACAATAGAATGTGTTAGGAATTTACCTATTTTATTATGTAGCAAGAAAACGGGTCCTGTGACCCCATTTTTTCTTTTTCTTATCTGAAAGCATGCTATTAGAGCTATCTTCTCATATTTTATCTCAAAATTCTATGGTGTAGTTTTCGTTTTATGGCAGAAAATTGGGTTTTCCATGCATAATCTATACAAAATCTGTCAATTTTGCTCAGCCTGTAGCGTGAAAATAAGCCCCGTGACCGATACTTTTTATTATTGTTTTTTAAAAAGCATGATATAAACTATATTTTGGCAAATTATTAAAAAATTCTATGGATTATAATTTAGACACCCCATCTACCTTAATCTATATATAGTTGATACATTTTTAAGTCAGAATGTTCTTTACTACATATTTCTTTATGTTTACCCAAATCTGTCATTAATACAAATATTTGCTTAAAACATTACGAAAGAAAATGATATTTTGCAAATATTGCTTGACAGAGTCTAAACATTAATGAACCATTCAACTGAATATCAAAATAAATATATAAATACTAATAATATAAGTTTTGGTCGGATAAAAAAAAACAAGATCCGAAGGTATTTTGTTAAAAACCGGAAAATATTTTATTTTATGGCTTTAGTTTGTGTTGTAGATATTCAATTTAAGTCATCGACTAAACTAAACAATGTTCTAGATATATAACATTTAAGAATAAATTAAATACATTATAATGCATTGTTAAACATCAGTTGTTACTCAAATTTGATTTTTTTCGTGGAGATAATTGAATGAGCAAGCAAATATGACATTCCTGATAGCCAATTTAGAGCAATAGCATTTAAATTCCTTTGCATTTTAAGATTGTTTTTATTAAGAAAGTTTATAAGGAAGCTATTAAACCAAGAGTTCCAAGTGGTGAAGTTGAAGTCATCCCTTCGTAAATTTTACGGACGCCATCACGAGTTGGTTGACCGTTATGAAATATCCGTTTCACAGATGATAGCGGATATGTTCCTAATGTCGTAACTACATATCGTCCCCTTTTCCCGACTGTGACCTACCCAATTAGACTTATTACCGGGTTTGTACTAACATGAGCAACATGTGGAGCAGGATCTGCTTATCCTTCTGGAGCACCTGAGATCACCCCCTTGTTTTTGGTGGGGTTCGTGTTGCTCAGTCTTTGGTTTTCTATGTTGTGTTTTGTGTACTATTGTTTATCTGTTGGTACTTTTCTTTTTTAATCATGGCGTTTTCCTTTTATTTTTCGACTTATGAGTTTGAATGTCCCTCTGGTATCTTTCGCCTCTTTTCTATAAGAAGTAAACCTATACATTTTACTTAGAAACATTAACCACTTCTATGTATCATCCTATTTTATGAAATGTTAGATTACTGCCTGATATCAGATCAATTTTCTTATACAAATATGTTGTAAATCAACTGTATTACCTAAAAGGTCAATTTCATTCGTGGCGTTCTAGGATTCACGATTGCTTTTCTTTTTTAAAAGAACCAGTTGTTTTATTTATTTATACAAATGTCAAATAACGATTCATATCAATCCTTCGTCTTTTTTGTTAAGAATGAATCATTTTCTCTAAACTTTTTCAACAGCCCGGAATAATCACTGTGTATAAACCGTCTACGGGTAATAAAGTAATAAATAGGTGAGTCAACCTTTGTGATACGCTTACTTTACCTTAACCTTGAAATGATTATATTATACTTTACCTAATATAATAATACACAGATTGAGATATAAATAAATATTTAAAATTACTATCCGCTATCGTGAAAATCCAGTAAATTGCATTTACTGTAATAATCATTATAAATGATATTATACATACCTTGATTATTTTCACAGTGTATGTACGTTATAGATACAAATACGGCCGTTAATCCAATTAAAAATACTTGTAAACATGTTACTTTCATGGTGGCTACAGATGAGTGGAGATATTATTACTGCACGTGATTTTATAATCTACGCCAATATGTCACAATAATAATAATAATAAAAAACAATAAGGTCTTTCCGGACGTAGTGGAAATACCTTAAAATTACGTTAAAAGCAGAACATGGATTCCCCAATTCTGTAATCTT